CCTCCAGCGGCAGGCGCTCCAGCAGCGTGGCCGAGCGCGCCCTCCGCTCCAGCAGGCGCGCGCGCAGCTCCTCCAGCACCGACGCGTACTCGCCCCCCTCCGCCTGCCACGTTCCGTTTCCAATTGCTAAAATCTCTTTTCTCTTTCCCCACCACTACTACTACGGAACTTACCCCTATAACCTCTCCAATGAAGCACAATTCCCATCTTAGAAACGGACAAACGACATGAACTATTTCATTCGTTGTTCCCTTAATTGGAATCAACTAATATTCGTCCTTTGAGCTTCCCGAAACCATACAAGAGGGATATTTGTGCTCTATTGCCAAAACCCTATACTATCTTAGTGTTTACTCTACGCTTCTCGTTTATTTTCTCTTTTTGATAAATGAAAATTAGACAGAATTACCTATGTTGTTCAATTTTTATTTGTAAATTTGAGAGAATAATATTTCTGTCTTGCCTCCGCTTAAATATACTTTTCCGAAAATATTTTCCCGTCTATTTACCTTCCTCGTTTTTTGTTACAACAAACACAATTCTCCATTTAGGGGACAAATTTCCCCAATCTCGTAATCCTGAAGAACGTTTGGCACGTTGCAGCGTTCAGCAATCGACAGTAATCGCTATGGCACATGCACAAAACTGATGCGAATCTCGAACTGTGTATGGGCAGGAGATCGATAGTGCTGTGGATTGCTATAAAGCTTCGCTATAGCATCTCAGCATACCGCAATCGATTGCAAGCTAGAAATGTATTAGAACTACGATATCAACTTCTAATTGTAAAAGTTTGTAATAGTTTTGTAATTGTTCTAATTCTAATTGTAATAATGTTTGCCACCAAGTATTAGCTCAAAGCAAACTTCAATAAATATATCTATCTAAATCATGTTTTACTTCTTGGAAAATAGTGCACTTCTTACCGAGGTGGAGCAAGTCCTGCTGCTCTGTGCGTCCAACTTGGGATGGGCCTGCGAGTTGTTGAGGTTGTTCGTGTTGTTATACTGTGAGTTCGTGTCCATTCCTGAGCTTATTTGCTCTGCTGCGTGTGATCTTCCATTGATTTCTTCGACCACGTTGTTATTCGCCTCTGTGTGTGTTTCTCTTACGTCCGTACTGTCTGTTAGACTCCGTGCATTTTGCTGGGCATTCTTACCGCCCATCGGTGCAGAATCTGTCTCTTTTATTTTGTTGTCCATTTTTTCAGATACGTTTGTGTGACACCTGTGGTTTATGACATTATTCATACTGTTGCAATCGTTTTCTGCTACGGAAATTTCAAGGTTCGATTCGCTCCCGCATTGCAGCTGGGAACAATCATTTCTTGTTATCTCGTAATTGGTCTGTGAATCTCTATTACCGTAAGTGTTTTGGTTTTCGTAAGAGTAAGTTACGCATTCTTCTTTATTATATTTGGAAAATTCTGTATCGCTTATTTTTTTACTATAATTTTCTCTGTCCAAACTTGTTTCATTGCTTTTAGAATTTTCAATTATTGTGTTTCTTTCTTTCATCTCGAAAGAACATTTGTTATCTTTCCCGTATTCATTTTTCATCATACGTACACTGTTTATAATTTCTGAGCTTAAGTCAATAATTTTGTTTTCCTTCTCAGCCTTTTTGTTTTGAATTTCATTCTCCGGCTCTACAAGAATTGGATCATTTGTTGTTAGATGTTCTTTTGTATCACTCGCTAAAAATGGTTGTCTTTGACTGATTCTCGAATCTCTCTTCTCGGTTACTGATTTCGTAATGCTACCAACCTCTAACCCAATCGCGTCAATCGCATAACTCGCATTTGTTGCACTATTGTCGTAACTCGTATCTAACTTTCTCTTCCTTGTGTCAGACCCAGCTTCGCGTTTTTGAGAACAATAATTCGATACCTGTACCTGTTCGCTTCGCGAGCCTGCAACATCCCTTCGGAAACAGACGCGTTCGTTTTGTGAAACGCGGAGCTGATGTTGCTGAGAAGTGGCGTGGTTTTGACTGTGTAAGCTGCGACACTGTCGTAACAATCGCCGCCTTTCTTCCGCCGCTGGAAGTGCGTTCGGCGCCAGGAGATCGTCCGGTGCTGACAGACTGCATGAAGACGCGTCTCGACGCGAAAGTGTGTTGCTCGCACTTTGCGTGCGGAGGATCCTAGTGAGTTTTTCGTGGTTCCGTAAGCGGATATCTTCTTGTGAA